TAGACCTCTAAAAAGTTAGAATGAATGCATGTTACTGCAGTGATGATTGTGTACGAGTATAAGTACAGCGAGATCAAAAAGTCTTTCTATCAAATCAAGCGTAGAAAAGAACGTGTGGCTGAGAAAGATAAAATGTCGTAACTACAAATGAAAAATGTCAAAATCAGTTTTTATGACAGGAAACCGTAGTAGGTACACGATTTGTATGAATAAACACCAATAATATAATTTTTTGAGATCTAGTTAACATACGATCTGCCATGCAATATACAGTCGCTTGCAAAAGATATATTCTTTTACCTATGTCAAAAATTTTGCAATTTAGCCTTTGTGATTGATTTTTCTGCCTCAAAAATCAAAAATTATTTAAACGTCAACGGACTTTCTATTACTGCAGAATTTCAAATTATACACAAATAAGTTTATTAAAAAATAAATTGACGATCAAAATATATCGCACGCCACTGTATCTGCTTTTTGTTGTTTGTACTATAATATGTGATTTATTTAACTTAACTTAACTTTATTTTATAACATATTATCTAAGCTAACTTAGCTTAAAACTTAATGCTTAATACTAACTTACGTTTCTCGATTGTCACTCTCACCATTACTAAAACATTTGGAAACTATAAATAGAATGTTGTTTTTCTCTGCCTGCTCTTATCAGTTTAACACACATTTATACAGAGTTACAAACAAAATTATCTGATAAAACTGTAGTTTTATGCGTTAAATTTAAAATTTCTTAAAATCATCGTGTGGTGATGAGTACCATTATTTATATAAATAGACAACCCCTGTTTGATTAGTATCACATAGAGTTTAGACATCAGTTCAATCACCAACATGAAGACGACAGTGTCATTATTAGTGTTAGTGTTAATTTTAGTTTATGGTGTAAACAGTGCCAAAATTTTGGGTGTTTTTCCTGTGCCTGGACGTAGTCATTACATTCTTGCAAGTTCTCTAATGAGAGCGCTTGCTGAAAAGGGCCACGAT